TTTGGCGAGATTTCGTTCCCTCGGGGAGTTAGGAGGAGAATTGTTACGAGGCTTCAGTAAACCCTGGATTTGATTCGACTCTGGCACGACGTCTGAATCAGAGTTGATTTCCTGCCGTGCTACAGTCGAACCAAATTGCAATTTAGTTCGGTACGGCAGAAGCACGACGTCTGAACTGGGCCTTAATCGTTAAATTCAATAGCATCGCAGTTCAGTTCAAAAGCTTTTTTTTTCGAGACGATTGCTGTATGATTGGATGTATATGTTTTTAGTTTTGTGTAAAATCACAGCGAGATGTAAGTCAGATTGACAGTAGCTCGAGAAAGCTAGTATCTCTGAGTAAAACAATGCAACAATATAAAAAATATAAAAATCTACACTGTAATATTGTGAATAGCGCGGTTAAAAGGAATAAGCTGTTTGTAGCTTCTTGTTCTATGTAATACTTCTACAGAGTCGCTCATAGCGCACTACATTGGTTATGAAGATAGCGGCTGTATTCTGAACGAAAAGCGAATAAGTTTTCGCGATTCCTCGTACCTTAAGTTAACGTTCCAACGAGTCGAACCATCGAAGTCTTGTAGACCTTTAAGAATGGCGATTTGCTCCTCCTCTTGGCTCTGGCTTTACGTAACACGTTTTGATACCCTCGTCCGTTATTTTTGACAAATTTGCGGATACAAGGACGCTGTTTCCGCTTCTAAATCAGCTGCTTCAGGATGTTGTTTCGTCCATTGAACCACTTTCGATATGTAAATTTCAGCTTGGCAGCGAGGCTTAGAGGACACAAACAAAGGAAACTGAATATAGATCGTTTTCACGTGACGTCATCAAATTCCAAAATCCAAAACTAAAGAGCCAGGAAAATTTTTATCCTCATAAGGCATAAGAGGATCTAAACTTATATCTGTTTTCAACTTTTAAGCTCAATAGCGTGCTTGGTTTGGAAACCAGCGCCGTTTGAAGTTGAGAGTTATGGCGGTGCGTGACATACCGCTCCGATCGCGTTTGTTGAAAAATATACACTAATCTAGTGATTTGAAGCCTTTTTAGGAGTTAAAGTGATAGGAAAAGTGCTTGTGTAAATGTTTGAAGGTTCAGTTCAGATAATCAGTCGCCTAGATAGGCAAAGTAAGTTTCAGATGTGTGCACTATGTTCCGGCCGCCATGTTGGTGGAGAACAGAGCTCCACCAACATGGCGGCTCCATACTGGGCTCTGTAAATTTGCGCAAAACATTTCGACGAATAGCTGAAGTTTGGGAAAACGCAGAGACCCAAAACTTGGAGAAGTGTCTTCTTTACTTGTCTCTCATAATATTAAAATTTCTTGACTTTATCCACTGAATAGTTTTCGATTTATTTTTTCGTTGCGTGATAGTGAAAACCATCTATACTTGTTTATTTATTTCTTTTGTTTGTGTCCTCTTGGCCTCACCATCAAGCTGAATTTCAATATATCGAGAGTGGCCGGCTTTAGACTCGAGTCTTTCTCGGAAAAACGTGGGCCAGTAGGCACAACAAATGCTTGCAATTATTTTCATCACTTATTGTTTGTTTTAGTATTTATAGAACCTAGATTTTAGACATTTTTGACTTGATTTTTTAGGGACTTTAAGCAACGACAACGAGGACGGCGACGGGAACGCCATGAGATCAGGGAAAAGCCAAAAGGCCCACTGCGCATGACTGGCGGGAAACAGGTTGACGTTCTGCGTTCGGGCCCGACGCGAGTGAATCTCATTGCGCGTTATCTGAAAACGTGAGTTTTCGCTTTCGTTTCCTCTGCTGTGTCAACGCTAAATAACCCGTGTTACTAATTTCGAGGAACTTTAATGCTTGTTTTCTCTTGTTATGCGAGATATTTCATTTTATAGAAACGTCGAGAAATCTGAAGCGAACTCAAGCCAGTCGGCGAACATTTGAGTACCGTGAAATATCTTTTTGAAAGCTTATGTAAATAAAGACAACTTACACGAATTTCAATCGAAATTTTT